GTGTTGGGTTGAAGGTAAAGGGTCTAAAAATCTTTTTTTCCCTCCCCACTTTCCTTTCATGTCTTCTTTACAACATAAAACACGTGACACTTGCGGCTGAAGTGATGCGTAAAATGGCACCATGTGTGCGTAAAAGGCAAGGCGCACGGACCGAAACTCATCTCAGAGGCTTGGATCCTTCTGGGATCTGGGACTCACTTCCCCACCTCGTCGAGCACTTTGCGGTTGAGCTGAGCCTGCTCGCGCTGGCTCTCCATCTTGGCCATCTGGATCATGTTCCTGAGCAGGTGGAAGGTCAGGTCGATGGAGAGCGGCGGCTCCTCGCTGCGCTTCAGCTGCAGCTGCGCCGCGGTCCTCAGCGCCTCCTCCGCGCTGTCCTCCCCCTCCTCTTCCTCCGGYAGCAGGTGGAGGCGGTCCGGGTCCCTCCTCTGGAGGAGCCTCAGCACGTGGTCCCCCAGGAGGTCCGAGGCGGCGGCGCCGTCCGCGGCCGCCTTCAGGAGCACATCGTCCAGGCGCTGCGCCTGGAAGAAGCGCGGTCTGCCGGCGGCGGGGCGGAGGTGCGAGGAGAGGAGGACGGAGGAGAGGAGCAGGAGGAGCGCGACATGCTTCATGTCCTAAAAACTGAAGGACACAAACATTTGGACAAGTTTGACTGAGTTCAACTCAACAAATATTAAATATAGATTCAAAATTCAAACTTTTCAAAAGGTCACACCTGCGTCACCTGTCCGGTTCTGACCCTAAAGAACCCGCAGTTACTCACTTTATTCTGTCCAGGTGCTGCTGCGGAACTCTGAGGAGGTCTCAGGTTTCAGTTCTGGGTCTGTGGGGTCCTGTGAGCGGCTCCTGGAGGTCCCGGTGGTTTTATAGCCCAGCCTGCGCCTCGTGACGTCACCGCAAAGTCTGGAGACGTGAGGAGACGCTGCGCTGCGCGCCTGAGGAGCAGCTGCAGGTTCTGCCGCCGACCCACAAACACCACAGCGACTTTTATTAGTTTGGATCAGAAATGAAACCAGAACCAGGGAGGAGGAAGGAGACTCTCAGTCAACAGAAAAAAATGCAGAAAATCAAACCAAATTTTGGGAAAACTGAAGTTTTTGTTGCATAAAAATGAGTTTATTTGACAAAATTTATCAGTTTATCGAAACTAGAAACAAACTTTTGCTCTAAATAACAATGTGGAGCTGTCCGTGGTGCTGAATCTGACATCAGAACCACGGACCGCTCCAGAGCTGTCTGTGGTTCTGAATCTGATATCAGAACCAAAAACAGACAGAATCAGAGATCAGAACCACCGACAGCTCCAGAGCTGTCGGTGGTTCTGGATCTGACATCAGAACCACGGACAGCACCAGAGCTGTCTGTGGTTCTGAATCTGACATCAGAACCACGGACAGCTCCAGAGCTGTCTGTGGTTCTGAATCTGACATGAACTGGACAAACATCCTGAAATTGGTGTCAGAAACAGATTCAATAGTTGAGACAGTTTGTTTCAGTTTAAAAGGAGCAAAGTTTTAGTTTAAATTGATAAAATTTGTCATAAATTCAGATTTTTCCTGTTTTTCTTCGAGTCAGAAGCCGAAAAGAATTAAACTGAAAACTGGAGAAATGACAATTTCTGGCTAAAGGTTAAATTTAGCAGAAGGTATGAGATTAAATTGGCAAATCGCTTAAAGGTAGTAGCAAAAGTCAAGCTAAAAACTAAAAATAGATGCATCTATTAGTAGCTAAAAGCTAGCTAAAAGCTAAACATATCAGCTAGTAAACGTTAATAGGAGCCAAGGGCTATAGGTAAAAACTAAAAGTGGCATGTTGTAGCTAAAATACAACATTACCAAAAGACTAAAAGCTAAAAGTAGCTAACAGCTAATAGTAGCAAAATGCTAGCTAAAAACTAAAACTAGCAGATGCTAGCTAAAAGCTAATAGTAGCAAAATTCTAGGTAAAAACTAAAAGTAGCAAATGGTTGCTAAAAGCAATTAGTAGCAAAATATTAGCTAAATATAAAAAGTAGCAGGTGGTTGCTAAAGGCTAAGACTAAAAAAGGATGGCTAAATACAAAAGGTAGTAGATGGTAGCTAAAGTTAATAGTAGAAAAAAGCTAGGTAAAAACTAAAAGTAGCATATTGTAGCTAAAAGCTAATAGTAGCAAAATGTTAGCTAAATATGAAAGATGGTTGCTAAAAGCTAAGACTAAAAAAGGATGGCTAAATATAAAAGTAGTAGATAGTAGCTAAAAGCTAATAGTAGCAAAATACTAGCTAAAACTAAAACTAGCAGATGGTAGCTAAAAGCTAATAGTAGCAAAAGGATAATTAAATATGAGAAGTAGTAAATTGTAGCTAAAAGCTAATAGTAGCAAAATACTGGCTAAAACTAAAACTAGCAGATGGTAGCTAAAAGCTAATAGTAGCAAGATTCTAGCTAAAAACTAAAACTAGCAGATGGTAGCTAAAAGCTAATAGTAGCAAGATTCTAGCTAAAAACTAAAACTAGCAGATGGTAGCTAAAAGCTAATAGTAGCAAACTGTTAGCTAAATTTGAAAAGTAGCAGGTTGCTAAAAGCTAAGACTAAAATGGATGGCTAGCAATATGATAGCTAAAAATTAAAACTAGCTGATGGTAGCTAAAAGCTTATAGTAACAAAATGCTAGCTAAAAACTAAGAGTAGTTGATAGTGGCTAAAAGCTAATAGTAGCAAAATACTAGCTAAAACTAAAACTAGCAGATGGTAGCTAAAAGCTAATAGTAGCAAAAGGATAATTCAATATGAAAAGTAGTAAATGGTAGCTAACCTAAAAGTAGTAAAATGCTAGCTAAAAACTAAAACTAGCAGATTGCAGCTAAAAGCTAATAGGTAAATGCTAGCTAAAAACTAAAACTAGCAGATGGTAGCTAAAGCTAATAGTAACAAAATGTTAGCTAAATATTAAAAGTAGCAGGTGGTTGCTAAAAGCTAAGACTAAAAAAGAATGGCTAAATATAAAAAGTATCTAGTGGATGGTAGTTAAAAGCTAATAGTAGCAAAATTCTATGACTAAAAGTAGCAGATGGTAGCTAAAAGCTAATAGTAGCAAAATGCTAGGTAAAAACTAAAAGTTGCAGATGGTAGCTAAAAGCTAACAGTAGCAAAATGCTAGGTAAAAACTAAAAGTTGCAGATGGTAGCTAAAAGCTAACAGTAGCAAAATGCTAGGTAAAAACTAAAACTAGTAGATGGTAGCTAAAAGCTAATAGTAGCAAAACGCTAGCTAAAAACTAAAACTAGCAGATGGTAGCTAAAAGCTAATAGTAGCTAAATGTGTTATCTCTGAGCGTGGGGAAGATGAGCAGAGTTTGAACCAGAAAAGTTCCAGCAGCCCTCCTCCTTTGCAGGTGAGACTGTTAATCCTCTGAACTCATTTTGTTGCCTCAGATTAATTTATAAACTACAGTTCTGATCCAAAAAAAAAAAAAAAAAAAGGATTTCAGCTCTCTGGGGAGATGCTCGCAGCCTGGGAGGGGGTAAAAGAGGCCATTTGGAAGATTTTCAACCAATTCGTCAGAAGCTTTCAGCTCGCAGATGTAAGCTGGGTGCCAGCTCGGCCTCAGCTGCCTCCAGAAACACAGCAAAGCTTTTCTGTGAAGGTTGTTCAGGTCAGACTGACAACTACTCAGACTTTTATTTTGAAACAACTCAGGTGCTTTTATTCAGAAACTCCAGCAGCAGCTTCAACACAAAACTAAAGTCTGACGACCCCTTTCTATTGCTTTTAACTTTGTTTTTAAAGAAATAAGTCTTTCAAAAAAAAACTTTGTTCATGTCAGAATATAAAATAAAACAAAGTAGCACCAGTGCAAATCTAGAAATTTGTTTTTAACATTTTTGACTTTATTCAAGTTAAAGAAAAAACAAATCATGTTAGCTGGAGTCAAATCTAATCATTTCTCATTGTTTTATATGAACAGGGTGAAAAATAAATGTGTGCGTAAATAAAAGAAAAACATTCAAAACCATTGGAAAAAAATTTGTGTAGGTCCTCTGGACGGGTTCTTCTTTAATGAAACGTTTCGTCTCTCCTCCAAGAGACTTCTTCAGTCTGAGAGTTTCAGGCAAAATTCAG